TTCCGAGACAAAGAAAACTAAAGGAGTTCATCATCACCAAACCATTGTCATATGAAATGTTAAAGGGACTTACTTAAGAAAAATAAGGAGACCAAAGCTATGAATAATAAAATGACAATAAATATAAATCTATCAACGACTGAATCTAAAAAACAAACTAAGCAAACAAGAAGAACAGAGACAGAATCAGGGACACGGAGAGCATTTCGATGGTTGTCAGATGGGAGGTGGGTGTAGGGGAATGGGTCAAGAGGTGAGGGGATTAAGAAGTACAAATAGATTGTTACAGAATAGCTACAGGGACATAAAGTACAGTTTAGGAAATGGAGTAGCCAAAGAACTTACAGGCATGACCCATGGACATGAACAATGGTGGGGGATTGCCTGAGGGGTGGGGGGTGCTGGGTGGAGGGGGGGCAAAGGGGGAAAATTAGGACAACTGTAATAGCATAATCAATAAACTATAATAAAAAAGATTCAATTTAGAGCTTTTTGGTGGTAGGAGCACATCTGTTCTGAAACCCCACGCCATTTACTAACCTCTTTACCCCTTTATATTCACTTCCTGCCGATCAATCATCCCAGCTCTGGCACATAGTAGCTTTTTGCCCTCAGGCAATCCACTTCACCTTTTTTCAAGTTCAGTTTCCTCTTCTGTAGAAAGAGGCTGAGGCTCCTACACTCAAAGGGTGGTGGTGAGGTTTAAATGGAATAATTTATATGAAGTGCTTAAGTGTGCCATGTCTGGCATGTAGCAAGCTCTCCGTAAACTTTAGCGACTATCATGGTTTTATTTCCACCACACCCCTCTTCCGATTCTTGCTTTCCCTTTGCTCCCTAGCAGCACCTGGTGCGCCTCAGGTCTGCCCACCAGGGGGCCCCACACACTGCTCTTCCTGCCCAAGTCCTTCCTGCTCCCGCAGGCAGCCAGCCCCGTACCTCCGTACCTCCCCCTTTTCCTTGGATGGCAGCTCTGTCACCTCTCCACTGGTGCTCCCTCTTCATCTCAAATATTTTGGCCTCTTGCCCCCAATTTTTTATTCATTCCACGAATATTTACTGAGCACGTACTACATGCCAGTTTTCATGGTAAGTGTTGAGGATACAAGAAGTTCAGGTACCCTACGTCTTCAAGGAGGGCACAGCCTACAAGGACTTGGTAGAGAGGTTCAGAGGCAGAGGGAGCCCTGATCTGGACTTGGAGATGGGAAGGCGGGAGTCAGACTGCCCTTGGAAGCAGCCTTCTAGCTGGGATATGAAGGGAGTGCCTCACATTACGTACTCCAACACATCACCTGAAATTCTGAAAATATAAATTCCATGAGGGACTAATCTTTTCAAACAAACAAATTAATTCAAACACCTCAGTTCCTCACACCATATGCTGCACCCCTCACCCCAAATAGTCTTAGCTTGACACCCCAAATTCTCATCCCTATGCCCAATCCTTCAGGAGCTCAGCCCCTCACCTTACTATCTCAGCTTCCGTTTCAAAAAATACTGCAGTCATTAATTTAATCTGTGGTCCTTAATCCTTATGCTTTCCAGATACAAGAGGGATGAAACAACACTCCCACTAAGGACAATGGCACGCTTGGGAGTAGCCCTCACAGGGATGGGGCATGTCAACTTTTCTGTGCATGGCTGTGATTTGATGTGTCTTCCAGGGCAGAGACGGTCATCCCTTACCACTTCCGAAGTTTGGGAATTGCTTCTTTAAATGTTTTCATTTGTCTTTCCCTCTCTTTTCTATTCCCATTATAATATTTTCTCACTAGTTTCAAATGTCTCACCACAAATAATTTCCCTTGGAGAGAGGCCATGACCTCATCACCCCTAATTCTCCAAAATTAGTCATAGAATCTTAGATTTGAGGGGTACCTTAGAGGCCACTGGTCCAATGACTTTCAAACTTCTCTTAGGGACTTTTTTTTAGACAGAGACTACTTCAACAAAGTCTTACGTGGAATGAATATATATATATATCTCAACTGCTGGGGCATGACCATGTTAATTATTCTTTGTTTCCAAGAGCATCAGCCCCCTTGCATTTAAATACCTCACTTTCAACTGCCCATTTACCTCAGGCCTGAAAAATAAGTACCTTTCTTTACACTCCAAAATTCCATTCCAAAATTAGGGAGGGAAGCTTCTCCCATTCAGGGCGCAGTCCCATGGTGTAATTTTCAGCCTTCAAAGACAAAGATCAGCAGAATGACCAATGGTCCCACCCAGCGGGGCCCTCTGGTGATTATCAGGGCATCTATTTCCTGTTTAATTCCCTGTTCCTCACTCTGTGGGTAGGGCCTGAGTGCTGGCGCTGCCCAAGGGACCGGCTGCAACCGGAACGGAGCAGCTCCCGGACCCCAAGAGGTTGCCATAGATACTGATGCGCAGAGAGCTAGGGAACTCATTATTTAAATCTATCTTCCCTTTAATTGCTGTGGGGTAGCTGGAGGTTGTGTGGGTGCTACAGCAATGGGAATCAAAAAGGGTGTGTGTTTGTGTATGCACACAAAGATGTCTATAGACCCCAACTTGCCACTGCGGCCACATCAGAGTCTGAGCTGTTGAGAGAGATGGTGAGGGAGGGAGGGAGAAATGAGGAATATCTAGAAAGGAAAAAGGAGAGAATAATTTGAGTTTCCTTCTAATTGTGTGAATTCTAATTTCCCACTTTATTTGGATGTTTCACGAAGAGGCAGTTCCATGCACATAGTAGGCAGCTGATAAATTTTGTTGAAAGGAGGCTGGCTCCACTTACTCAGTACTGTGAAGCATCTTGGAAGCTTCACCCCAATACTTTTCTCATCACTCTTCCTTTTACTCAGGAACTCAATGCAAAGTGCTTTATATGGTTACCCTAAAATACCTGGCATAGAACCCTCCCCCTCAGCTGGGAAGATGTCCCCTCTCACACTGGGCACATGAGAAAGGTCAGGAAGGTAGTCCTGTTTTATGTTCTCCCCTGGACTCCACGGCCGCCCTAAGTCTGTGGTTGTGCTCCGTCTGACCTCTCTGTCTTTCCACTCCATCTTATGATAACGAATATAAAGTTTCAGCATCTGGAGTTCAGGAACCAAGCTGCCTTGAGAACTTGGAAAGGGCACATTGGTGATTAACTTATATGCAGCCCCTATTTCTGGAATGCAGGTTAGCCGTCACTCTGTCTTTAAGGTGAATGACAGAAATCAAGACTTACTGTGATTCCCCTGAATACAGTCTCACTGCCCCAAGCTGGGACAAGGAGCCAGGCTCTCACCCCAGTGCAAGATAGGAAGTGGCCTTACTCCTCAGCGCCTTACTTCCTGTTGCCCTGGGAAGAGGTGGGGCATGGTGTTCTGTCACTTCAAACCTTTGCTTCTTGGCCCTCTCAAGCAATCTGTCAGTGTTTCCCCCTCCTATTCACATAATCGCCCCCACTGGGCAGTCCGGTTCTCAGACTAACTCTCAAGGCTGTTGAGTAAGGATAGGAGGGAGGCCCTCCCTAGGAGTTTTGCTCCACCTACCCCCTCAGGGATGAGGCCTGGGAGGCTGGGAAGCCTCAGCCTCTCAGCTGCCTTCTCCAGGAGAGCCAGCCTGCTGACAAGGGAGGCCTGGCTCCCAGGCGGCCTCCTACTGCTCCTAAAGCAATCGAGACTGAGCTGCAACAGTTGGCTGAGCTCCACCCTGCCCAGTGGAGGCTAATACCTGATTTGTGGTATAGAGGTCTGGGCAGGTCAGGAACTTGCCCAGCCTGTTTCCCCTCTGCTGAGACAGTTATGTGCTTGGGTCATCTCCTGACTGTGGGGACAGAGGAAGGGAGGGTACTTGCCTCTGCCAGGGACCAAAGTTCATTCCACAAATATTTACTGAGGGTCTGGGGCTGAGAATAGACACACTAGTGAGTGAAGGAGGCAGAGAGAACCGGCCCTATGGAGCCCGCAAATTAGTGGGGAGGCAAATATTAAACAAGTAATTACAGCTAACACGGTTCTAATTAGGTGCCAGGTACTATTCTAAATGCTTTATGTGACTTAGCCCATTTAATACTCACAACCCTGTGAGGTAAATACTATAATTGTTCCCAGTTTTCAGATAATGTAACTGAAATTTGGAAAGATTAAGCGATTTGCCCAGCATCACACAGCTGGTCACTCAGTTGCCCAGAAATCAAAACCAGGCAGTCTAACCTGAGTTCACTCTTTAGACAATCTTGCTCTATCTCTACTGCCTCTCATACCAGTAAACATATCATTACAAAAATGTGATGAGTGCCATAAAATGAAAATACAGGGTATCCTGCTAGAAAATGGGGTATTTTCTCCTTTCTTCCACTTGCTTTTCTAGCGCACAGAGCACCTAGCCTTTTGTAATCATTTCCACCTTTTATTACTGGCCTGAATCAGAGCGTCTCTCGTCTTTCAGGTTGGCGTGCAGGAAGGCAGAGTTCCACCTGCATTCTTGGCCCTAACCTGGTCTCCCTGAACAAACTGTGCCTGAAGGGTTTTATCCAATAATGGCCCTGATGCTTACACAAGTCTAGACTGTCAGCTTCGCGAGGGAAGGCTGTGGAGAACAGGCTCTGCACAGGCTGGGGGCGCCTCCCGAGTGTGCAGTCAGACACGGACTTTTTGACCTTGGCCCTCTCCCACGTCGTTGTGAATTGGGCTAGGGGCTTAGGACCCGCGTGTGGTGCCGCGCTACAGAACTGGCTGGTCCAGATCCCTACCCAGTCCCAACACACGCACTCTGAGTCCTTGCAGGGTCCGCCCCGGGAAGAGCCTACAGGTCGCACACCTTCCGGTTCTCTCCCTGCGGCCGGGTGCTGGGACCCCCTTGTCTCCGCTCCCCTGCGCGCTCCGCCCTACGCGGGCGGCTCCCGAGGCGGGGCGGTGCCGGCGGCGGGAGGCCCCTCCCCGGAGGCGGTCCGGGGGCCGGGCGGGGGGCCGGCGGGGCTGGGGGCGGGGCGGGGCGGGCGGGCGCGGGGGTGTCACTCCCTCCTTCGCTCTCCCCGGTAAAGTCTCGCGGTGCTGCCGGGCTCAGCCCCGTCTCCTCCTCTTGCTCCCTCGGCCGGGCGGCGGTGACTGTGCACCGACGTCGGCGCGGGCTGCACCGCCGCGTCCGCCCGCCGCCAGCATGGCCACCACAGCCACCTGCACCCGCTTCACCGACGACTACCAGCTCTTCGAGGAGCTCGGCAAGTACGGCCACTCGCCGCCCGCCGCCCGCCGCGGCCCCCCAACCCTGCCCCCGCCGCCCGGGCGCTATGCGGCTCCTCGCCCCGCCCCCCGGCCCTGCACCGGCCGCTGCAGCGCCCCCTCTGCCCGCCCCACCCCCAGCCTTTCCCGCCCGCCGCCTCCGGGGCCGCCTGACCCCCAGCTCCCTGCCCCGCAGCCCCCTCCGCGCTCTGCAGCAGCTGCCCGGGCTGCTGCACCCCGCGCTGCCGTGGGGACTGCAGCCCCCGACCGCTCCTGGGCGCCCTCCAGCCCCGCCCCTCCCGCACCCTTCAGGCTCCCCTCATCCCGACCCCGCCAGCTCGCTGTCCCCTCCCCACCCTGCTCAGGAGCTCACTCAGCACTTCGTCCCTTGTCCCACGCGCCTGGCACTCAGGACCCTCCTGGCCCTGCCGCTCCAACCCCGCTGCGGTGCCGGGGTGTGGGGGGGATGTTTGGTGCTCGGCCCCGCCCCCGGCTAGTGCCGCTTCCAGGATCCCAGCCCGGCTGCCGGGCTGTGCTGCGGCACCCCCGTCCCCTCCCCCCACCCCTGCAGTGGTCCCGGGAGCCGCGCGCCGCAGCCGCAGCATCCCCCTCCCCTCCGCACTGAGCTGGCCGCTGCAGCAGCCCCGGCCCCCCCGCACCCCCACCGGCGGCGCCGAGCCCGGCCACTGCAGCCCCCGCCCTGCCCGCCCCCCTAGACGTTTCCAGAGCTGGAAAGTGCGAACTCCCATTTGGGAGGGGGATAGTAGAGGAAAATATCACGGGGAAAGGGAGCTATTGATGTCTGAGACCCTCTCCTGGATCCCCTCTGTACGTGCTGTCAGCTGAGCCGGGATGCAGTGGGATGAAGTGGGCTCAAGACGGTTGTGGGAGATTTGAGCCTCATTTCCCTCACCTTTCCCCATGGTTGAGGGAGATTTCTCTCCCGGGACGATACCCTCTTTCAGATCTCTCCTTCCCCTATTCCTGCTGGGAGAAGGGCAGGTCTCTCTTTCCTTCTCTGGTTCTCTTGGCCGGGACGACAGGGCTGTCTGTGTGATGCAGCAGGTGTTTTAAGCATCCCCCACCAGCTCCTGATGTACAGCCTGAGGTGGGGGCTGCTGCTTTGCCCAGCGACTAGATGTGGAGGTGGGAGTGGGGGGTCGTCCTCCACGCACACCTGTTCGCTGTCAGGCAGTGGCCACATCCTTCTGCCCCATGTTGGAGAGTGATGGCCACTGTGTTGGTGTGTGTGACTTTAGCTAAAGGTTAATGGGTGCGCCCCTGTCCTCAGACAGCATGTCGGTGTGTTACTCTGTTGTGCTTGGTGTCCCAGTTCTTTCCCCCTTCTCCCTCCAGGGGTGCTTTCTCTGTGGTCCGCAGGTGTGTGAAGAAAACCTCTACGCAGGAGTATGCAGCAAAAATCATCAATACCAAGAAGTTGTCTGCCCGGGGTAAGTGTTCCCCAGCTTGGCCTCTTCCTGCAGTGCCTCCGGGGGCTATGGCTTCTTCTGAAGATACTCCAGGAGTTGGGGGCTGTGCATTTTAGCACTTGGAAAAGAGTTGAGATTTCAGAGTGGTTGGACTTTGAAGCCAGGGAAGGAGTTGTATGGGGAACTGGACGTACTCATGTAGAAAAGAGTGAAGATGTAAGGGATGTAGGTAGCTGTAGGGAGAAGCAGTCTCTGAAGGTTCCAGGGAGCTTGGTTTTTAGGGAGTGAGAGGATATTGGGAATGGTGGGTGGCATGGAATGGAGGGGTCTTAATTGGGGCATTTGGAGTTTCTGTTTGGGGCACTAATAGCCATCCCAGGCCTGTCCTGGTCCCTGTGCCCCAGTGGTGACTTAGGATGAAAATGCACTAAGTGAGCAGCTCTGACAAACCCAGCCTCCCCCTGCCCACCAGGCGGCGGAACAGACTCCCAAGGGAAGGGAATCTGTAAACATCAGAGAAGGTTGCTACTGGTGAGAGCTTCTGGGAACAAATCCTGCCAGATGAACTTGATTGCTTTTTTGATCAAATTACAAAGTTGGCGGTGCAGCAGCAGATGCAGTCTGTCCTAGGTGGAGGGTGATGCCTCATGGTCTGGAATTCTCAATGGCCTGGGCTGGGTGGGAGCAGCATTGCCTCAAGGCCTGAGGATTACGGAATGCCAGGCCTTGGAGCCTGACTTGTGAGATCCTCCTGAGTACCTGAGAGTACCTGAGGCCAGGAGGGTCAGGCCCTGTCTTTCACACCTTGAACCTACACTCCCTGAACCTTGTATTGGGTGCTTGCCAAACTCACCTAATCTGATAGGTATAGACTCAGCAATGTGTAAAGTGCTCTGTGAACAGGTCGGGTGAGTACAGAGGTATGTGGATGGGTTGGATCATTGAGGGCTGCAGGGTGCAGCAGGGGGACAAATTTTATGAGCTTCAGAGAAGGGAATTAGGGCTGGGCAATAGGATGCCATAAATACATTAGAAGCTAGGACAGATGCCTGCAGAAGATACAGGATATAGCTAGTGATGACCCAGGCGTCTCTGGGGTAAGAGATGTAATAGATGTCCCCAAGTATTGGAGAAACTATAAAAGTCCACAGTGGGCTTCTGTCATGTTGACAGTTGTTCTGGGACCTATATAGCAGGGTGTCTGCCTCCTGGCTGGGAGGGCCTCTCTGCATCCCCACAAGCAGAGCTTGTCTTGCTGTCTCCCAGCCTCCATCTCTTGCTGTTCCTCTACATTGGCCATAAAGTTGACTTATTTGTTTGTTTTCTTTCTCTCTGGGTACCTTGAATTAGAGGCAGTGGTTACCATAGAGACATGTGGGTAGTCAGAAGCACTTCTCCGAGAACCTAGGGCTTGGGGGGTGTGGAACGTGGTAGGCTGGGCTCTGTGGCAGAGATCCTCCGGCCAAGGATGCAAGGTGCCGGCAGAGATGACAGTCGGAGAGCGTTTACCTTCCTGTGTCCACACAGCGTGGCCCTGGTACATCAGAACTGGGGCTGGTGTCTGGTGTCTCCAGTTAATCATGCAGTGCTCTGCTTTTTCTCATTCCACCAGTGTCCTCTGACCCAGGGGCGAGGGACAGAAAGATAACTAGGAGCCCAGCTGTGGGGTGTGGGGTTAGCTGATGAGGGGACTTCGTAGAGCTATCTGCCTTGGGCTGTCATTTTCTACTCCCTCGCTACTCACCTTGATTTCTCTTACCTTTGTGATCACGTCTTTTTCCCATCCTCACCTCCTCTCAGCCTTGTCCTGTCTTTCCCAAATATAATCATTCATTCCCTGGCCAAACCAGGTGAGGTTTGATTTCTCTTTGATTTTTTTTTTTTCCTCAAGAAGAAAATTTTTGTGTACGATCATGTGCTTCAGACAGCAGTTCCTCTCTCTTGAGATGGTTATGTCAAGACTGGGGCTCTGTTGTATGGTTTGTGTGCCAGGTTAACTTTGGGACAGAGGCCTACTCTTGGCTGATAGGCACAGAGGCCAATAAGAAGGGTCAGGAATATGTAAGGGCCAGTACTGTTTGGAGGTGGGAGAGTGGGAAGGCGTTGTCTTGGAGACTGAGGGAGCGAGCCAGGGGCTGTGCTGTAGGTGTGGGCGTAGGGGATGTGAGCTGCAGGAAAGGATTGGGCCAGGGGGCCCACTAGACTGGTGCCCATGGGGTTAGGGAGTGATGGCCGTGGCTTCCTGCAGCCTCTCAGTTTACGCTGTATATTTTATAAAGGTGCAGCAGCTGGGGCTGGGTTTCACTCGTCGCTGTCTGTCTGTCTAGGGCTCTGCAGGTGTTGGATTTCTGCGTCTGGGTATGTGGTGGGTCCACCAGGGTCATCCATAAGGGTCTGAAGGGGCTTGCTGTGTTTGCCGAGTCTCCCTGCCTGTTTTCTTTCTGGCCTGTGAATCTCCGTGCTGCAAACCAAAAGGAAAGAAAGAGGGTATCGAGCCGCTGCTTGGTATTCATGGTGAGGTGGCCCAGGAAGCATGGGGAAAGATCACCTGGTCTTCTGGGGTGTGGGACCTGGATGGAGTCCTTCTTTTGCTCTGCTGTTTCTTGTTATTGTGACCTCAGGCCTATTTAGTGGCTGGGTTGCAAGGTAGGGTGTTCATGTGACTGTGCCTTGAACACTGTCTGTCTGTGTGTGGGCCTATCTACATAAAGCCACTGAGAGTCATATAACGTCACTCCATTTGCTTTCAATCAGCAGTAGGAGTGGAGTTGGGGCCCTTAAGGGAACCCATGGTTCCAAGCTGAGCACTCTGCTAGGCCGAAGGAGGCATTTAAAACAGGTTTCGATGCAGGAGCTAGTGGGCCAGGTGATGGCAATGAGAAGTCGTTATTTTAAGATTTAAGAGCACCGCCCCCCCAGGAGCCGGAGCCCTTATGTCTTTTTTTTTATTTTTAAATCATCACATTTCCTTCTTATCTTTATTCATCATATGCATGTAGATTTTTACCTCATGGAGCATAACAATGTATTTATTTATTTATTTTTAAAGATTTTATTTACTTTTTTTCAGAGAAAGGGAGAGGGTGAAAGAGAGGGAGAGAAATGTCAATGTGCAAGGGAGTCATCAGTCGGATGCCTCTTGCACGCCCCCAACTGGGGACCTGGCCCATAACCGAGGCATGTGCCCTGACAGGGAATTGAACCGGTGACCTCTTGGGTCGTCAGCCCATGCACAGTCTATTGACCCACACCAGCCAGACCGGAGCACAACATTTTATATTTGCTTTCCTGCTTACATCGAAAACCTTTCCCCATATTGCTACAGTTGAAGGGCAAATGGTCCTTTCTTTCTCATACATAGTTTAGGATTTATTCTTAGAACAATTAGCATCATAAGAAACCTCTGTATTTGGGCCATTTGTCTTCATTCCAATTGCTTTTACTCTGATGGATACTTGGCTTTACCAAGAGGTGCTACCAGAAACAATATTATGAAATCTGTTGCAGTACTTGCTATATTTATTTATTTACTCTGTATACCTTATGTGAAGACATTTCTATCAAAGATAAATGTAAGCAAACGCTTTCTTCTTCCTGAGGACGGGGGAGGTAAGGGTAGGGACTATATCTGTTTCTTTTCTTAGTGTGGGCAGGGCTTTGCAAAGTGCCTGCTATACACACAGCATCCACACATTGAATGAATAGGTTAAAGGGACTACATAATCCGTCATGGTTGCTTTTTGCCTTTGGCTCTCAGGAACCTCAGAGCCAAGTTGTGGGAACCTTTATTCCCTGGTACTGGCTTGGGCTCCCCCTTTCTGCTCCATGGAGACAGCCTGTAGGCCTGACACAGCTGTTAGAGAGGACAGGCGAGTTTAAAGACCTGTGTTGGGGACATAATGCTGGTGGGAGATGTTGGAAGGCAGGGTAGTTTATGATTCCCTGTCATAGTGGCCTTCTAGGGCAATGTTGGAACTTCTCAAAGCAGTGATATTCAGTTTTAGTGTGCATAAGGATTACCTCAAGTACTGGCTAAAAATGAAGGTTCCTGGGCCCTGCCCGTGGCGATTCTGCCTCTGGGGGCTTGGAGGGGGGATCCAGAGTCTGTGTGCAGGGGGTCCCTGAGCCACCCTTGAAGAAATGCCATCTGAAATCAGCAACAGCAGTGCAACTTGCTGTTGCCATGCTTCCTGAGATTTACGGAACACACCTTAATCCAGCCTTCTTCAGGTGGCGTCTCTCTCTGCCCGGGTGTGACCATTTGGGTACATGGGCTGTTCCGTGATTCGGGGCCTCCTTCTGAGCTCCCGGGTTGCGGTGTCAGTCTGTGGTCAAGGCTATGGCAAGCTGAGCGGCTGGGTTGTGGTATGTTGGCCACCAGAAGGGCAAAGGCTGTCTCTTTCTGGGTCCAGCTGGCCCTGGGGATTGAAATAGGATCCCCCTGGGTGGTGCCAGCTCAGAGTCCCCACCCCCTTAGTGTTGGCCTGAGTAGCCCCCATGACATTTGTGTCCCCTGTGGTATCTCCAAGGGAGACTTTACCGTTAAGGATCTGGGTGAAGTGAGGGGAGTGTAAAGCAGCCATGAGGGAGGAGGAGAAGGAAGAGACGTCTATGCAGAACTGGAATCTGGGGCTCTGGAACTTGAGGGAGCATTGAAGGGGGTTGTACGTAAAACCATGCTTTCCTCCTAAGGCTAAAACAGGCCATTTTTGGTTGGCAGAGAAATGGACACCCTGTGTGTAAGTGACCGAGCTCCTCTGACTCTTCCTCCCCAGTGGATGAGGGAGCAGACTAGAGGTCCCTTGTCTGTGCCAAGGCGTATATGCTGGGCCAGTTTCACACAGTCATGCTGTGAACTGTACGTCTTAGCTCATACAACACTGGCCTGTCACCCGGCCCTGCCGTCCGTCCACCTTCCCAGAGTGACTTTGGGCGCTGGCATCATGGGGTCCCATCCCGTAGAAGAGGCCCCTGCTTTCTTCCAGCTGCTTGCTCTCGTCCCTTGTCAGAAGCTGTGCTGC